GATTGAGAGATGCAAAGAAAAAAGAGCAGAGAGGAAAAGAGAGAAGACAACAAGGAAGGAATAAGAAGAGGGAAAGAGTAAAAAGATCCCGAAGAGCAAGAGAATAAGGAAACAGGAAAGAAGGCCAGGAGGATAGTGAAGAAAATAGTTATGTTTAGAATCAGAGGTTAGTTGGACTTTAGCTGCGGGAAATGAATTAAAGGAAAAATAAATTGAATAATTGGTAATAGAATAATGAATTAGAAGTGGATGTGTATAATGTAAAATATAGGAATGACAACGAACGAACGAAATTGAGAAATGTAAATGTTAAATGTAACAGAGTAGGTGTAGAAAAATATTTAAAAGTAAAGATTTTGTAGTAGAATAAAAGTTTGATGTGTATAATGTAAAATATAGGAATGAAAATTGAGAAATGTGAATGTAAAAGTGAAATGTAACAGAGTAGGTACAGAAAGTATTTAAGATAAAATAGAATAGTGAGGAGATAAACGGATAGGAAGGAGTTCGAAGTCCCTTCTTTGGCTAAGGAACGCTGGAGGGGACAAGAGCTCAGTTGGCTAAGGTAGGAAATTTTGAAAATATAGAACAAATTAGGATAGAAATAGGAAGGCTAGTATAAGCACGGTGATGGGTTTGGTAGGTGAATGATTTAAAAGACAAAATAAAAGGGAATGGATGAATGAGTGTGGATAAGTATAAATTGTAAACTAAGTCCCTTCTATGGCTTCTGTAAAAGCTAGAATTAAGATTCTATTCTATTCTATAAAAATATTATTATGTCTTGAAGATTCTGTTTTTGATAAGCTCATACTTCGGGAACAGTACAAGCTTATCAAATAATAACAATAATATTATTTGATTATATCCACAGGATATAATATAAAACTCAAACCACATTTATTTTTTATATTCTCTCTGCCATGATTTTAGAAATGCTACGACAGTATTAGAAAATGGATGTAGGCAGTAGTATAGCATATAGTATCTAATTAAAAATGGATGTATTGGCCAACAGTGTATGTATGTACGAGAGGGTTCTGATAGTCCCACGAAAAAGACTGGGATGACGCTCTCAGATTTCTCTCTGGTAACATATTCCGTGAAATTATTCATCGCCATTAACTTGGTCCTTAATATGCGTTACACTAAACATTTTCTGTGCTTTACCCCCATAGTATTATCCTCCCACCTCAGGGATTTCCTAACTATCTTCATAACGTGTTATCGGTTTCAATTAAGGAATATCTTGATAACGCTGATTAGCAATTTATGAAAGCTTTTCAGCAAAAGACACAAATTCAATGTCGACATGTTCAATGTATATTCGTAATAAGTCCTTTTATTCATCAGCGTATATATTAAGCAACTTTCTTAACAAATCGACACAAGAGTCAGTCTATCTTTGTTCAATTTTCAGTTACAGACAAAGACAGAATGACTCCTGTGTCTGGAAAACTCTCCGTGTATATACAGATTATGTGATAAGAACCGAATATATATCGACTTTAATATACATCTTTCAACGTTCATTGTGCAATATCTAAACGCACAAATTCGAGTTTAACTAATTAACTTTAAACACTTAATTCGTACTAGATGGCTTTTTTGTCCCCGCGTTCGCCACGTGTATTCGACATCTTTATAATACTATTCGATATATTCATTTATACGAAATTTTTTTGTAGCTATTTCAATATCTTTATTAAGAAACAAATATTTACCTTATAATAATTACTCTATGGATATATATATATATATATATGTTGAGTATGTGTGTGTGTGTAATTTAACTTAATTATAAAATCTTTGCAAAAAAACAAAATGTACTCTTCACCTCGGTAACCATATAAGAAATGGAACCAGGGTCTAAAAATTCCTTTGTAATTTGTATTTCGGATGACCAGTGTTTGTAGCGCCCTCTGATAGATGACACCCCAGAAACGAACTAATAACCAATATGGCCGTCATATATACAGTGTGGAAACAGAGAGGATCCGAGAGCGGACATGCCGGATGCTCATGACATAGCAATTAGCAAGCGAATGCATACATTTGCACGCAGCTGAGGAAGGACGACGGTGCGCAGTCGAGTGGTGCGAGACACCAGTTCTCTCGAGAGAGTGAGTCATAAATTTTTTTTCTTTTTATACCAAAACCACGGCAATATGCCACATGCGCACCTTGCGGAACTAACCTCAAAATCGGAGAAACGCGCTCTTGGCTTCTGCCTTTTGATAAATTCTAGGAGATTTTCGGAGAATTCCGATAAAACTTTGTCGAATCTGTCGCTTCTAATTGTAGCTATTATTATATTTATCTACGCGTGTATTATTATCTATGTATATTCAGAAACGCAAGATTCGCAAGATCCTTTTGAGGTGCACCGCGTTACGTTTCTGCATTCAATACATTCTTGTTTTCTTTTTTTTTTTAGTCTTTAAAAGAAAAAGGCAAAAGACAGGGGGAAAACTAGATAAAATGCAAATAAAACGAATTTATACTCTCTTTTTTTTATCTTAAGGATTTAGAGTGTAAATGGCATAACTGAAAGGCACAATGCGCTATTAAATGCATCAGCTTGTTGAAATATGCTTACACTTGTTCCATTATTAAGAAATCCTGTTATCATATTAATTCCATTATTAATCTTATCATTAACCTATTATTAATTCATTATTATGTTATGTCTCTATCTATTCATTATTATGAATTTATTTGTTACATCGCACATTTATTTTTGTCACAACTTTACGACAACCCTGCATTTTATTATTGCGCCATTCTGCCATGTAAATTTTATGTAAATCTGCTTGCAAACTATTCTTAGTGTTTTACAAATTATAGAATGTTTTAACAAAACATTCTATACCGTGCTGTCTTAAGATCAGATATAGATCCATGTGATTATATGTAACAAGATATATTATGTATCTTGACAACTGCAACTTTCAGACATGGCACGAGATAAAGACGAGGGATGATAACTGGAAAGATTATCGAAAAAATTGTAAAAACTGATACAAAACCACTTGCAAAGGTAAAAGTGATTTCCGGTTGAGCTGCTTCGAATTAGTTTACTTCAATGCAACGATGGAGAACGAGGAGAATAATTCTTCTCGGAAGCAACCAAAGAGATCGCAAGACGAGTACAATGACAATACCGATCTGTCGACTCGCGTGTCGGTATTGTTCGAGAGGCATTTCACGATCTCGGACGTGCAACGAGACACGCAGACGTACGCGTTACCCGACGTGGGTTCCATGTTCGCGGAGCCACCGTGGCAGCTGGACCAGCTGCAGACGACGAAGCGAGATCTGAACGCGGTGAAGAGCCGCCTGAACAACTTCAACCTCGGCAAATGGCAGCAGCACACGAACCGGATGAACGAAGCGGGCGACATCGTGCGCGCGGTGAGGGAGGACGTGCAGGCGGAGCTCGCGACCCAAGCCTGGTGCAAGTTCTACGAGATCGCCAGCAAGTTCTCCCTGGTGCCGTTGAACGAGATCCACCGTGGTGGGATGAACGGTAGGAGCTTCAAGTCCGTGCACCTCTGCGAGGCGCCGGGTGCGTTCGTGGCCGCCCTGAACCACTGGCTGCAGACGAACGCGCCCGACGTGCGGTGGAGTTGGCTGGCCACCACCCTGAATCCCTACTGCGAGGGGAATTCGTACGACAGCATGATCGCGGACGACAGATTCATCAGGCACACGCTGCGGCACTGGTGCTTCGGCGCCGACAACACGGGCGACGTCATGAACCTGAGGAACTTGGACGCTCTGGTGGAGAGGTCCGCCGAGTCCCTCGACGGCGGAGGACCGATTCTACTGGTCACCGCGGACGGCAGTATAGACTGCACGGACGTGCCCGGGGAGCAGGAGAGCGTCGTGGCGCAGCTGCACTTGTGCGAGACGGTGGCCTGCATGCATCTCTTGCAGAGAGGCGGCAACTTCCTGCTGAAGCTCTTCACCCTGTTCGAGCATCGGTCCGTGTGCCTCATGTATCTGCTGTCCTGCGCCTTCCATCAGGTCATCGCGACCAAGCCGGCGAGCAGCAAGGGGGGAAACTCGGAAATGTATGTCGTCTGCGTGAATTTCAAGGGCAGAGATCACGTGGCGCCGTACTTGCCTGTACTCAGGCATTACTACGGCGACGTGCCGCCCGCGAGTGCGATGTTCAGCCTGCGGGACATTCCGGACGGTTTTCTACAGAGGATCGAGCAGTGCGGCAAGTTCTTCAAGTTCCATCAGTGTCGGGTCATAAAGGATAACATAAGAACGTTTTGCGCGAGGGAGAATTTTCACAAGGATCTTCATTCCGTGGCGGCTTTCAAGCGTACGATCAGTGCCAAATACCTCGAGAACTGCAGATTAAGTAAAATAGATGCCGCGAACGAAATAGTCGGCCGGGAGGTGATCGAGAGGACCAACAAACTGTTTATGAACAAAAGATTGCACATCGATTCTTACAATGAGCGTTGTAAGTGGCAAGACTTAGGGCCGCAAGAGCGTTTGTTGCAAGTATGGGATACCGCGAAAGAGATCGAATGGCCGTCAGAAGAGTTTTACGTTGTAAGCAAATTTTTCAACTACGCTTGTAAAATATTAACCTTCAGAAATTATAAAACGCATATACATCATGTAGCTTTTATCACAATTTAAAGAAATTTCGTTTTTCGCAAAATTCGTAAAAATTACATTCTCGAGATTGGCAAATTGAGACTGAGATGAAAGCAGAATAAAGATCGACAAAATATCTTAATTTATAATAACGCTTACTGCGAAGTAAATTCGTTTATAGAAGCTTATCTATTGCTGTAGTTTTATAAATGAATTTTTTTTACTGCACCTGGGAAAAATCATGAATGCATTTACAACGTAATTATTTTAATTTTATAGTGGCACCTACAGACATTACCGGAAGCTGTAGAGATACAAACGGGGAAGTTGTTTAATAAATTGCGCAGCTCACGCTTTTGCGACTCGAAAATTCTGCAGATATTAAACAGAATTGATAACATAATGCGAGATATGAGCGCCACCGTCTGCTTTCCGCCAGCAGAAATTACGAGAGACCTCGCGCAGCAGATCGATCCGAGCCACGAGATACTAAGCTTCCAATTCGTTCAGGATCACGACGGTCATCGGACAATTGCCGAAATTTACGAACGACTAGAGAAGCTCGAATCCGGGCGAACGCTCGTTTTCATCGGCTACTCTTTGCTGACGCAGTTAAATATTGGCCTTCTGTATCTCTTGGGAAAGTCCTTTAATAAGATTACCGTAGAGGTGAATGATGAAGAAGGCTATCGCCTTAAATTGGAGACTTATCGGCGCAATGAGAGAGTACTGAATTATTTACATGAAATTCTGGTCGTGTCACACAACGCACGCGAAGATAATATGGCAGTTTGGTCGATAATACCCATGACAGTTTTATATGGTAAGATTCACGGATGCATACTCGAGAAATCTGTTGATTTTATCTATTTTAATAACATAAATATATCCATCTATATATTTCCTATATATTAGATTTTATACAAAGTATTTAGTAATAAGTATTTTGATGAACAAGAAAACAATATTTCTTATTGAAAATTAAAATACATAATTTTTTTTGTGTTTGATATGCAATTTTTTCTAAGAGATTGCTACACATGTATGTAATAAATTGAAATTTAATATTTAGTCTTCTGTTAAAATATTCAATATTCATAATTTGACAAGAATTAACTTTCTTTTTCGAAAAATCATTTTGACTTTGAACAAAGAATATTATCATGCGCGTTGAAAATGCGCCCATTACCCTACTCTTGGTAGACCTTTGACAACGCATTTTCCTTCTAGAATACGAGCAGATCCCTGTGATGATGCAACTTAATCATCTGATGATCAAACTATACGCTCGTCACGTTATCAATACGATAGGCGGTAAAAACCAATAGCAGAGTGGAAACTATATATTTGATGCATGATTGTACATAAAATGATATATATTCAATGTATATACATTGTAGATAAAATTATATGTACATATACATAATTACAACTGTGGGGATGATAAATGTGAATCATATTGTTCTGTAAATACTTCATTTTTCATGGATAATATATACATAAACAAAGCTTTGTAAAATACGCAGTGTAAAAAGAAATCATAAATAGGAAATAGAATGCATGCATGAGAAGATAATACATAAAACGGAAATGGTAATTATTTATTTGTGCTGTTATTATTATATGGATTAAGTTTTTTGTTCAGAAAAAAATCGTATATTTTACTTTTTACGTAATTTTTTTCTTGTTTCTCCGATTTTGTGAATCAAAGTGCAGAAACACGACCTGGAAAAATTCTTGATATTTTATGCATTATTATTTTATAATAATATCAAGATTTTTTACATAGCGTTAAATAAACAAAAAATAAAATGATCGATCTGAAAAAATTTAATTTTGCTTCTATTTGTCATAATAACATAAATTCTGCTTTTGATTAACTCTTGCTTCCCAATAATTTTATCCAACGATAATTTAATCGAACAACTAATGGCTAATAAATATTTTTCAGATCCAAGGCATTTGCGGGACGCTCTTGTTCCATAACAAATGAGATAATCAATATGAGTCATGTTTGATACATAGAACAGTCAATTTTATATCTTTAAAAAAAGGACGTTTTCGCGGGCTAATAAACAGCGTTGTATGAGGACTCGATGACTTTTTTGAATTATAACAGGAAAACTGAGTACCACGTTTTGAATCGTCGCACGTAAAGATGAGACACAACGTTCTCAAGAGTTGTACTCGTTTACTATGTACCGTACCACGACAACACGTACCTCAGGTATGCATCGTCGGTGCTGGTCCGGCGGGCTTTTACGCGGCGCAACAGTTGCTCAAGGTAATAACATACAATAGATAATAATATTAGAATTAATGATAGCGTCAGCCTCATTAATTCCTTTGAAGACAAAAAAAATATATATATATTTTTTTTTTTTCTAAATACTATAAGCAGTTTGCATGTACACAAGAACTGTGTACATCTGTTAAATAATCACTATAAATATTCCACGTGAAATGAGAAGATAAAACTTGCACGAAATTAACAGGATTCAAGCGACGTAATAATCAACATATTGGACAAACAACCAGTTCCGTTTGGCCTGATACGCTACGGAGTTGCTCCGGATCATCCAGAAGTGAAGAACGTTCTCAATAAATTTCACAAAGTTGCGACCAATCCACGTGTTGAATTTATAGGCAATGTTAATGTTGGCAGGGACATTCATATCTCGAATCTGCGACGCTTGTATGACGCTGTGTTGCTGGTATGTGTCTGGTATTCGGAATCAGTTATATTGTCGCTTAACATACATATAATTAACTTTTATTTCCTGATTTCTTAACTTCATGAAATATAGAGTTTCAGCTATTTATACCTTTATATTTTATATCATTTTAAATATAATAATGCTTTAATAATATAAGCTAAAAAGAGAAAGATTAATTTTTATAAAAATATTTGAATTCAAATACTTCAAACATATTAAAAATATTAAGATTATAACTTTTTTATAATTTATGTATTTATTTATTATATATACTTTAAATAAGTGTTACAATGATTAATTTTTTAATAAATAATAAGTAATCACTATCAATTTGTATATAATTGTTTTTTTAAATTAATATATGTTTTTTTAAATTAACATATGAATCCTTATTTAATTAATAATTACATCTTCACTTTTTTATTCCAGACTTATGGCGCTCAAGAAGATCGATTACTTAACGTACCCGGCGAAAATTTGAACAATGTGATATCAGCTCGGCGTTTTGTTGGTTGGTACAATGGAGTTCCAGAAGATAAAGATCTGAAGATTAATTTAGATGTAGAGGAAGCAGTTGTCATAGGTCAAGGCAACGTGGCCATGGATGTCGCGAGGATTCTATTGACGCCAATTGACAAGCTCAAGGTGATACCTAAATCTTCAACTAGTGTTTTAAATTTTCTGTTAGCAATATGGCTGACAATACAAAATAAATGTATAAGAGTTTTTAAAGATTTAATTACACGACTTTAAAAATATTTTTCAATTCTGATTAAAATCTCTCTTTTGATTTTAGGATACCGATATCACTTCGTACGCTTTGGAAGCCTTAAGTCGTAGTAGAGTGCGAAAAGTCTCTATGGTTGGACGAAGAGGGCCTTTGCAGGCCGCATTCACGACCGCGGAACTGCGCGAGATCATCAAGCTGGAGGGCTGCAAAACTTTCTGGCGAGAGCAAGACTTCGAAAACGTCGAGACAATTCTGCCGACTTTAGCCAGACCGCGGCTACGATTAACGGAGCTGATGCTGAAGTCTTTGAAAGAATCCAAGACCGACTCGGTGCACGCCAAAGAGCTGCATCCGATCTTCCTACGCGGTCCCGTCGAGTTTCGCGGCGACAACGAATTGAGGAGCGTTAGATTTGCGGTCAATCGTCTGCGAGGGGAGACGGTGCGAGATCAGGTGGCCGAGACGACCGGCGAATTCGAGGAGATGCCGTGCGGTCTGGCGCTGCGCAGCATCGGTTACAAGTCCGTTCAAATAGACGAGGCGATACCGTTCAACGCGAAGAAGGGATGCGTGAGGAACACCAACGGCAAGGTCGAAGGGGGTTGCGATGTCGCTCCTCTGTACGTCGCGGGATGGGCAGCGACCGGTCCGACCGGCGTCATTCTGACGACCATGACGAACGCTTTCCAGGTCGCTAGATTGATGTACAACGAATTGCCGTCGAACGGGAAAGGCGGCGGCGGCAGGGACGGGCTGCGCGACGCCGTAGAAACGAATGCAAGCGCAACGGTCCAGACTGTGTCGTACGAAGACTGGCTGAAGATTGATCGCGTTGAACGTGAGCGCGGCGGGCAGCTGGGGAAAGTGCGGGAGAAGGTAATCGACGTGAAGGAAATGCTGGAAATCGCTGCAAGCTGAGTCGCCTGATGGATGCCTAAGGAGTATCCGAGAAATTCGAGCACACGCATAGACGCCGATTCAGACTGTGTCTCACGACTGACTGAAGATTGATCGCGTGGTAGCTGGGGAAAGTGCGAGAGAGGATGGTCGACGTGAAGGAAATCGCTGTAAATTGAGTTATATAAAGAATATTTGAAAAATAGTTGAAGGCTTGATCTGAGCGAGATCCAATCGTTTCTTCAACTTTCTTCGGGGTTCTTGAAGGGATTAATTTAGAATTATTTTTCGCACTTGGAAATTTACTTTCCTCGAGTCCGAATATTAACGCGCTCGTTAAAACTGTTTGCGAATCTTCCAATTCGATTAACGACTAAGGTTGTTGGTTATTGCAAATGATTGTAATAAATAGCGAAATTTATTTATTATTCGTGATTTTTTTTATATATACTTTTACAATAATATGTACAGGGGTTCAGATCAGATAATATCTGATCCGAGGGATACCAAAGTAAATAATTGATAAATGTTATACAAATGTTATACAAATACAGTTTTTTTTATACTGGTGTTTATTTTTGTATTATTATACGATTAAAAACCAGATTATTCAAAGCCGTTCCAATACTTCAAGCAGATGTCGATAGTGTCGGCACGTGTTTACTCTTAACCTAACCTTTAAACTTACCTGTTCCCGATCTAAAATCATCAGTTGTTATTCGAAGGAGTAAATATCTTTCAGTAATTAATAATAAATAATACAAACATGAGAGTATATTTTCCTCATTCTGTATTATACTTGAAATAACAAGTGTTTCGAATTCTGCGTAAAATTTTGTACAAAGAAGTCAATTTCTATTTTCATAGGTTATCGTTTATCTTATATAAAGTTAATTATTAAATCTCTTTATGTTAATTATTATGTACCTGTTACATAAAGAGAAAAATCATATCTCTAATATAAAAAGAGCGATTAATTATTTAAAATGAAATTTTTTAAACTATAAAATCTGGATTATAATCTTAGGTTTGTTTTCTAATTTTTATTATTTTCTGCCTGAACTAGCTGTTAGTTCAGAATTTATCTTTCTTCTTGTAATACGAAAGGAAAAAACAGTAAACTGTAAACTTGGGCAGCTAGTTCAAGCCAATCCAGGAACCGAAAACAAATCTTTTATTTGAATCAGAGAGAAATTTATTATAGATTTATGTGATATTATATTTGAGTGACATTATATGTAAGTTGTTAGACAGCCTTGTTAATTTTTGTTAACAATTACTAACGTACAAAAATTTCTAACTTGTCGCAATAGATACCTCACAAAATATGAATGCCAAGTCTTTTCCAAAACTTTACATTGCTATCCGTTTGTAGTTAAAGCATGAATCTGCGAGAACCGAGGAAGAAGAAGAGGACGAAGTTAAGGCAACAATTGCCATTTCCCATCCCACTGAATGACACGCAGGAATGGCCAATGTACACGGCGCATCTCACAGACTTAGGATCCTGTATAATTGAACCTGAAGAGATGCACGCTGTGCATTCTATGGTAAAGATCAGTTTCACTGGAGTAATTTCTCCTACGGGCAACAAAATGAACATCTTCTGTCCATAGGGATTTTTTGGCAAAGGATCGCTGTCACGCAGTTACCCGTCGTTTGACAAAGCGAGGTACGGAGCACCGCCTGTGGTTCGGAACAGACAGTGGCTTCACAGACAAAGTTGGCTCAGGGAAGCTAAGGAATTGAACTCTAGCGACTACAAAGGTGTGTACAAAGTACTTTGTGACATACAAAAGATATCTTCGCTGCAAAGTGTTATGAATGAAACACATTATAATATTTAATCCTCTGTGTGCCAGGTGGAAAAAATCAACGTGTCGAATCATATGGGATATCTCATACCCCATGTTATTACTTCACTTTAAGTACACCAATTTAATACAACAATAATTTTGACTGTCATAATATCGATTTTTGTTCCTTAAAATATAAGAATAAAACAAAATAATAAACTCTTTAATCTTTTAAAATAAGAAAACAAAAATAATACTATTTCTTACGAACTAAATTTAAGCAGTTCAAATTTTGCTGGGGTATATCATAACCCACTTAGTGCACGGATTAATTTCGACTGTCATAATGTTGATTCTTGTTCCTTAAGATATAAGAATAAAAACAAAATAATAAACTCTTTATCTTTTAAAATAAGAAAACAAAAATAATACTATTTCTTACGAACTAAATTTAAGCAGTTTAAATTTTGCTCGGGTATATTCCCATTTAGTGCACAGAGAGTTAATTTCAACTGTCATAATGTCGATTCTTGTTCCTTCACATATAAGAATAAAACAAAATAATAAACTCTTTAATCTTTTAAAATAAGAAAACAAAAATAATACTATTTCTTACAAACTAAATTTAAGCAGTTCAAATTTTGCTGGGGTATGTCATATTCCACCTAGTGCATGGAGGGTTAGAAGTAAGATAACGAAATAATGTATAGAATGATATAAAATAAAATATAGTGAAAATTTGTTACATGTAATTGCAGATGACGAGATAATCGCTCACCGCGACGGAGAAAATGTCTCGGACGAGGAGAACATTGGCGACATCATAGAGATTCCATCGAATTCTATCGAAAACGGGAGTAAGCAGAGAAACGAGATGAACGCGAGGAACACGGAGATCGACGAAGTCACTCTGGATTCCGCAGAGGATGACGACATATGCGTCATTGTTAACAGGGACGCGGATGAACGTGACATTGCTAAAAATACGTCAAACCCTCACGGCGATAAGAACAGCCCAGACGAGAGGAGAGAGGAGGAGGAACACTGGAAATTGAATTATTACGATTTCAAAAGCGATTGCACAAACGAGGATGACAATCTGCACGGAAAGCTGTTGGTGCTGCCGGATAGCGACTCGGACGCCGAGAACTATTTGAAGAACGTTAAGCCGAGAATCGAGAACGAGGGCTTCCCCATTCGAGAGGCCCTGCACCTCACCTTCGAGGAGACGTTCTTCCTCCTTTTCGGATTGGGCTGCTTGCAACTGATTCACTTCGACGGCAGCCTGCTGGACATCAACAGCGCGTGGTTGTACTTCTGCAAGGAGAAGCCAGATTTTATACAGAAATATGTGGTTTATCATTATTACAGAAGCAAAGGTTGGGTGGTCAAGCCAGGCCTAAAATATGGTGGTGACTTCTGTTAGTATTCACTGCTTGTTCTTTGAAAATATGAAAAATGCTTTTATTACACTTATAATTTTTCAGATATCATGTTATTTTTTTATTACATTTATAATTTTTAGATATCTTGTTATTTTTGGATTAACAATTTTTAGATATCTTGTTACTTTTAAAATCCTTTTTCTCTTAAGAAAAATCTTAATTTTGAAAATATTTTTCTCCTTCTTGTATTATTACTATTTTTTTAATTTGAAATAAATGTTTGTAAATGTTTCAGTGCTCTATAAAGAGGGACCGCCCTTTTATCACGCTTCTTACATCGTTATAACGGAAGTAGTAGATGCAGACTCTTTAGTTGTAGATCCTATCGTGCCCTCGCGATCCAGAACGTGGAACAGTTTGTTCGGATTTGAAAGGCTCTCCGAAACTGCTGCTAAGGTAAAAGCGCATTTATCTATTAAATATATAATGTATGTGACAGATTTCAAATTTTCTACGGAATACATAATTTATTTTATGTTTCGCGAATAACAGGAAATACTTTTCGCGCAAGTCTTGTGGCCGTCGTCGGTGTCTCGGGACGTCAGCGCGAGTAGTCCCAAAATACTTTCCGAATTCACGGTGAGAGAATTGCTCTGGCGTCGATGGAATCCGAAACAGCATAGGGAAGATGTCCCCGTCGAAGAGGAGGACGAGGACTCGTGCTGAAGGATTTTCTAATCATTTATATATTTCGTAAAGTAACCCTTGGTCAATTTATATATCAATTTTTTTGCAATAACAGTAATATACATATTTGTATATATACAACTTTTTTTATTAATAAGCTGTACATATATTTTTCATTAAAGCATAATGCAGATTTTATATAATCTCATCATAGAAAGGTAAAAAATAATTTTCTTAGAAAAATATTCGATATTCGATTTTCTTGATCGATATAAAAGATTATTATATTTTCATTGCAATATAATTTTCAATTATATTGCAATAATTGTGGGCTGCCATAACACAGTGATAATTGCATATGAATTACAACATTTTAATGTCGCAAGAATTGCGTAAGATACATCTATTCAATTATGACGATTATTTTTATATTATTTCAATTATAGAAACAAATATTAAAATCTTAATCTAAAGTCTTAAATCTCAAATATTAATGTCCAAATAGCTCGGAATATATTTGTCACATATATAAAAAGAATTACAACGTCATATCAGATATATATCGAAAAATCAGAAATTCAATACGAAATACCAAGTTTATGAGTTATTTGAATATTGCGTACAAAGCATGACATATACATAATATCGATCGTAGCGTGACGGAATATCATTAAATCCCATAGACTCTATGCGAAGCGCACACGGCGCGGCGCGGCGCGGCGCGTTAAGCCGAATCGAATCCCGTGTCTTTATCAGCGATCGGCGATCCGCGCGGCGGTATCGTATATGCGGTACTCGCCGAGTGAAAGCAAGCTGCGATCGCGAGGGCCCCCGCGACACGGGCCCCAGGGCCCGTGCAGTCAGTCCGAGGTGAGCTGGGAGCTGGCATGCCGAGTGCCGTGCACCGCGAGTTGTCAGCGAGTTGAGCATCTCCAAATCAAACCCAGGGATAATTGCGTTCCGCGCGATCCGGTACGTAGAGAAACACCTCGACGGACACCGCGCTCCGTTTTTCCTGTCAACCCCCGCGTCGCATGGTTGAATTGAAAGAGTTTTCTCTGTGCCTGTGTCATTTAAAATTTACGTGCAAATAGCAATATTTTAATACTTTAATTTTGCAATAAGAGTATGTTTAATATTTTATTCTGTTTCTACAGATACGTATTTATCATTGTTTATGTTATATAAGAATTTATTTTATTTACATTCCGTTCCTATGTGGGGTTTCAGTCGCTAATTCTTTGAGAATCTGAAACTTATAAAATTTTTCATTTAATTTATATTATATAAAAATATTTGTATTTATTTTTTTAAACCTAAAAGTTTTACCGTTTCCATTAATGTCAGTTAAAAAACACTGGCACTTGGACGATTTTTGTGTTTCTTTTGAATCATGTCTATGAGAAGAATCAAGTAATATCGGTTAACATCAATTGTTTATGGAAACAGCACCAAGGCGAATACCTAGGCGGAGGTGTTGAGAGGCGTTAAAACATTCGCATTATTCATAAAAGATGATGCTACATTTACATGCGTGGATTTACGTTCGATTTAAATTTCGCGCCCAGGAAATTGTAACCCGGAAATGATTAATTAGACTGAAGTAGGTTGCGAAATTTGAGAAGCTGCTTCAAATTTCGCAACACTTACTTTATTATGCTTCGATTCGCGATTCCTATTCGAAATATATTAGGTTAATTGGAATTCGATCGAAGTCGCCCAGAATTTAAAAAAAGAACATCCAGAATACACGTACGCGTGTACATACATACGGTGTACATATCGCGTTTCTCAGCTCGCGAAAGATATACGTTCGAGGACAAAAACGCGACGCGATCAGGGCATCCAATGAATAAGGAATCGTGTCACTTTCATGTAAGCTGAATACGAGAGAAAGCGCGAGAGAGTATTCGTCCGTATCTGTGCGCTTAATTTGTAAGAAGAGAAGATGATGCGAAATTTTTCAGCTAGAGAAACAGGGAGGGAATCAAGCCGATCCTCTTTCTGTCGCAGACTTTCGACGCTAAGAGAGATCGGGCTTTTAACGCGACTGACACACAGTGTTTCTGTACTTTTCTTTTTAAGAATTCGAAGACATCCAGTCAAATTTAAATAAAATGAAGATATCCCTAAAATGTGGCTCCGAACTAAATTAAATTCGTCCGCCACAGAAGGAACAGTGGATATATTTTGTCTTACGAGACGCGTTCCGCGTGGATCGCAGAAATATATTTCTTACAAACGATCGCGCGCCGTATAAACGAACAGAGTGAATGTCATCCTCGTCTCACGATACGCCTGGGAATTCAGTCGCATCTCCCGAGACGGCGATGCGCTCGGCAAGAAATACAACACGCTTGCTGCCCGGCAGCGGCGGAGAGTCGGTTCCCGAAGCGAAATTTTGAGCGAGTCACTTTCGATCTTTAATTGCCATCCGCCTTTAATTGCTTACCGGAGAATTCGAGATAAATGGACTGGCTAATTGAGTAAAAAAGAGACAGAGACTCGAGCCATAAATTGCTTTAAGACTACTGACTTTAATTATATGACAGTATTTTTTATATCATTATACACATTTGTTAGATCGCGTCCGCGATATCCGTCAATTCATTATAGGACATTTGAAAGAGGGATTTTATGTATATACATTCTTCGAGAAAAAATTCGAGAAAAAAACGTACATTGTGAACGATGATCTGTAGAAAAATATTTATTATTAATAATTGCCGTATATTATTTAATTAACACTTTCTTTGCTGTTTGATTGTTAGAAAAATAATTAGCAATTCAGATAATAATTGAGATTAGTTCTCTCGGTTGTTGAAGCTGTTACTGCCGCTCATCTTGATGCATTTGCCTATCGCTTCGATACCGCCTTGCATAATCGAGATATTATATGACCTCGACGAGGAAGATAGTGGACACCGTGTATATCCCTTAAGCCGTAAAGCTGAGCGAGATTCAAGTGAAAGTGTATAACCGTTTGCACCGTCTACACGTTCCCTACGGCATCCTTGCGCCGAGGTACTCCCGGTTGTAATTGGGATATCGCTTGTACGTTACGTTGCGTTATATTACGTGCGCGGTATACACCTGATGTGCGCGATATATGCGCGAAAAAGCGAGAGCCGTTGTATATCGGAGATTAGCATATTTCGGAACAAAATAACTTTCACTCAGATCTGATAAGCGAACAGCGTAAAACCGAAGTCTCCGGCTTTCGGCTTTTGGAATCAGAATTTGACAATCTTCCGCAATTTTAAATTAAGGAGAAAACTTAGCATTAAATCCTTGCTGTTAACCACCTCAAACCACAACTTAAAAAAAAACAGACTTAATATTATAAACGAAAAATTTACCGTTTTTTTTTATCTACGAGAGATCGCTCGAGAAAATGATTCATTCATCCTTCACTTATCAATTATCGTTTATTTATGCAATCGATTCGTGATCGTTAATTATTATTTACTTCTTAATTAAAATTTCTAAGAGTATGATTTATGACAATGAGATCATTAATATTATTTCTAAATATAACCAACGGTTATAAATTATTATTTACAAATAGTCATAGGTATACAAAAAATAGCAAGGAATTTTAGAAGAATGAAACTTCCGGTGAATTTAAGCTTCTAAACAAGACAGATTTTAATCCAAACAATTGACTTTGTCCATTCTAACAAGTCCATTGAACAAAAATTTACTATTGATTGTAAATCCGATTATATCTATTATACAAGAGGTTCAGGAGCTCTTCTAGCTTACATATGTATATCTATGAAGTAAACGTTCCAGTGACATGTATTTAAGTCCGGACACGTATACGAAACTTATTATTATTAATCTCGAATACTCTTATTATAATATATTTTTACAATGAAGTTTTGACATTATAATAAAAAAGGGAATCGAGATTGATAACTTTTGTGTAAATGTCCGGATATACGTATATACATGTCCAGTCGTTGGGACATTTACCTTATTTCTTGTATATAAGTGTGCTCTAGATTATTTTAACACGTCAATTTTCTGCTTTTTACAATTTATACTTGTTCCCGTTTTATATCTCTCGATATAATTCCAGCTCGGCGTGTTACGAAAAAGTTCGTGAGACTCGCGGTCGCAGCTCCCGACGTCTCGTTCTTTCGGCTCGCCGAGTAGCCTACTCGATCGCGACGGCGACGGCGGCGGCGGTCGTTTCCATTCGGGGCCGGGGCTGATGGAGAGCGATTGCTAAATGGGCATTCCTGAGAAACCTACAAGCTCGCTTTCTAAGCGAGGTCCCCGGTCACGTGCGACCGGGCCCGGTCCGCGCGGGTATTTCTGTTCGCGACACGTGCGGCTTGTCCGTCCGCGCGCTCGTGATCTTAACGCGCGGCATGACAGCGCGGTGCGGCATGCGTGCGTGCGCGGGCACGTTCACCGCTCCCGTTTTCACACACACGCCCCGCGATACACTTCTGCCACAGCCGCGTAACCATGTGATCTCACGTAGTCGTGTTATTACCGCGAAGGGCGGTAATTACGAAGGAACTGTCGCAATTCCCCCATTGACCCTGAACGTAGCACTCTTTTTTTTTTTTTTAATTAGAACGGATGAAATCGAGCGCCGAGATTTAATCGAAACCTCCGTGCGTCTTGTCTTATCGGAAACGATGGCTCGGCATTCAGTAGAAATCAATCTATCTTTTCTTAATTATGTACTACTTTTTTACGCGTATCTGTGTAACTTACGTAATTTTATTTCATCTTTAAATTGTATACTTGTAGAGCAAATCTAAAATCTATTAGTTTCGATTCGTACTTCTGATTGATTGTGTATCAAATTTTATATAAAGCGGTGTCTACAATGAGACTTAAGACTTTAAGCTTTAAGACGTTAATTCGTGATGTCATTTCCGTTCGTAAGGCGTTCACGCCTTTACTTTAGCCTTAACTTCAATCCTCAAGCGAATTGACGAAATTTTAATTCTTACGGCTAAAAATCTACGGCTTAAAGTTGCGCGATATAAAAACCAATTATCACACTGCCTTCTATTGCGTCTGCTTTCTGATTGGATGCTTGGTCGTTAAAGCTTAAAGTTATAATCTTTAACAACGTTTATTTATTGTAGACACTACGATGTAACGGCTTAACTCTTAACGCTTACTGTTTAAGATTTAAAACTTAAATCTTAAGTTTCATTGTAGAACGGGCTTTAAGAGAGAGAGAGAGAGAGAGGGGGGGGGGAGAGAGCGAAAGAGATCATTTATAATTCTAGATCTGCAATTTTATCTCACAATCAGATCTAATGACGCTTAATCTGATCGCGCGATTTATTATTCTCGATCTATGTATAATATTCGACGAAACTCCGTTAGTTTTTTTACAACTCGTTCTACAACGCTCCTTCGTATACGTTTAAGCACGCGAACTCGATCGTTGCGGTAAGCGTAATTACGGAGTTATAACGGCTCGCGCGTTTCCAGCGCGATGCGATCGCGGGAACCGCGCGTGCACATTTTTACGCGCGTTAACGGTTACGTTACGTGTGCACTTACGCTGCTGGGTGGAAAGTAAGATAAAACTCTCGCGGTACACGCACGTGAACGCGTGTGCGCGCGCGCGCGAGGGGAGGCTTCCGAGTGAAATCTCGCGGGCTTCCGCTTCCGGCTCGATCTCGCCACCGCGGCGATCTTGTCGCGGTCAGGATTCGCTTGTGGATCCGCGGCCGAGGGAGAGAACCGGAGAATCTGGGTCGATCGCGGCCGCGCGCGGGCCGCGTGATCAGGAAGCAATTAAGGAATGGCTATAAGCAATGCGCTGTATGCCATAAGCGGCAGGGAAATTTGCACGTGTTGCTAAATCGCACGGCCCGGACACTATCGCGCGATACCTCGAGCGCGCACGTTTTTCCTCTGCTCTCCCCCTTTCCTTTGTCCGACGATTACACGTGAGAGGTATCTCGCTAATGAATTAATAATAAGTTTCG